CACACCCACACCCAAATCGATCGTTATGTTAAAGCGAATATAAGTTTTGGTAAGAAAACTATTAGCACAATCTCTACGGGATTAAAATGTGAAACACGATATAGCTGCTGTGGCTGATGACACGAAAATAGTGTAAATCTATGTCTATATTGTCTGTGAGACTGCCGGTCATAGTCTAGATGTTATTCACAAAGCTGTCTGTCACGGTCTGTGATGATGTCGGCCACAGTCTGTGACGCTGCCCTTGTCTGTCGGTTACAGTCAGGGGCTTGTATAAGGCTATCTGTCACGTCTTTGTGTGTGTGGAGGAGGGTAGGTGGGTAGTGGGTACAAATTTCTACCCCTATATACTTCAACACTTCTTTTAGATCGTGTTTCACAAAAGAATCAGTATTAGACAGATGGAACCAATGATCATTGAACTTTTCAAAATGCTGAAGTTAAACTTTGGCAATGGTTAGTGATTTATTCTTACTCAAATGCATGTTTATGTGAAATAATTTTTTATTGTTCGGCATATTTTCATTTTTCTAAATCGAACTGTAGAGAGAATTATACGGTATGTCGAGCAGAATTCGATTGTAGTTTTTCATAAAAACGTTCGATGTTTTTTAAGCTTTTTCTATTCGATAAAGTTAACTAAGTTTCTCAATAATTTTTAAAACAAATGCAAGAACATAATCTTGAAACTTTGATTTCCTTATGCGGATGCATACTTTCAAATTCAAGTTTTGAGTGTATAATATTGGCATCAAAATATACCATAAAATATTTATACATCCAACAAGACATGTTCAGATTGAATTGAATCAGAGAAAATGTTCTTGAATAAATGAAATTCAACCTGTAAGTACTAATGATTATCAAATCTTTGAGGTCTTTATAATTAAAGTTGAGTCAATGGTCTACTCCTACTTGCTTGTAATTTGTTTATCAAGTCAATTTTGAGTATTTTGCTTTTTCATTTTTCTGAAATAATTAAGTAAGTTTCAACTGCATATATGTGAAGTTTTTTAAACTCGAAGAGTTTTAAATAAAACTTTTATTTTTTTGTAATGTTGCTTCATCTATAATTCATTTGACACTTTTATTCTAATTCTAACAGCTTTTTAATTTAATCATAATCGTTGCCTTTTCAGTTGTACTTTTAGAAAAATATTTTGTCACATAAACTTTGACGTTCACTGTCAGTTAACCCTTTAAGTGCCATAGCTCCGCCAATGAAAGAAACTTCGTTATGACTTCATATTTAAGATAGTTGTTGCACAATATTAATATTCCTGTCGGAAACATCTCGTAATCTTTCAAATCAGGTTAGCTCGAGAGATTTATTCACAATTATATACAACAATGTACAGCAGGATAGTTTTGCTTATTCACAAAATATTCTTATGATAATCATAAAAACAATTTCTGTTCGAACTCATACAAAATGCCCTTTTACAATGAGAACAGTGATAAATAGATCTATGTTCATCTTTACATTGAAATATTTGATTACGTGTTGTCAAAATGACCGTTGATTTTGGACAATGTCATGTTATGTATATATAGTTCAGTAAAGAGAACCGACAAAATCAAGATAAGTGTCACTAGTGACACTGGAATAAATACGATTAGATATCATCAAGATTACGTACGATTTTCCATCAAGGCCATATTCATTCATGTGTTACTGTCTTTTTGCTTTTACCACAATGTATAAAATCATGCAATGATGCTCTTTCGAAGACTCATCAGTTTTACTAAGTATTTTACCTTCTTTAAATGATGAATATCGTCCAGATGTACGTATCGAAGCGTCTTCTATGTCGTAGCGATAACGGCACGTTGTTATTGTTTCGTTTTCGTGAGTTATTTAAATTTTATCAAATTTGAAAAAAGTGGGACTTATAAGCCCCGCTGGTACTTAAAGAGTTAACTCGTATGATATATTCAAGTGCATTACTATTAAATAATGGTTTTAAGATTCATATTCTAGTGGACGTGCTGAGTTCAGGGCACACTGCTAACGATATGTCACAGAAACTTTTAGGTATTTCAGTACCTTGGAATAATTTATGGATATTTAGCATTTGATTACAAAATTGTTATAAATGCTCAATCTATTAGCTTGTTGAAACATATTTCATAGAATGCTATAGAAACTAGACAAGTACCTGGTAAGTACAGATGTATACTTAGACATTTCTCAGTAGGATACCCAATCAAGATCCTTTGACATGCTAGTAAGAGGCCACCCGAAAAGGAACCCTGCTGACGATTTACCCAGTACACGGATACTTTATGTTTTTTTTTCTCCGGGGAGAAGAAATAGAGACTATCAAATGATAAACAAGCACTGGATTTCACATTTAGAGTACTAATATCAACTTTTAAATATTTGGAAAAAAATAAAATAAATACGTCAAATGGCTTTGTAAAAAATTGTGTAACGCATCGATAGTATTATAAAAACTCACTAACTTTGGCTAATTTAGAGTTGTTTATTCAAATATTCCTTCTGATACAAAGCAACAACATCATTCTTAAATAGAACCACACAATAAGTATCATATTCAAAAATTGATTTCATCAGATTTTTTATTGCTTAATAACAATTTTTTTATGAGAAGAGCTCGAATTCGACAAGCATTTTTTTCATAGAAAATGTTCCGATAAAAATCATCACGACAGTTAATTCTTGGAAATATTTTTCAATAGATATAAGAAAAAAAGTTCGTGTTTAGACGTGTCTATCTTACGACGATATTCGACACATGATAGTTCATTGAGGTTATTGGAACACAGCCACTTGCATATACATACAACGATTGTATGTTTTTTCTCCTTTTTGTTTGTTTGAATAAGAAGAAAAACCAGTCAAACTAAACGACAGTTCAACTAACTGTATGTAAGTAGGAATTGTATTTCGATTCCCTTTGATAATCAATAAGAACAAGAATAAAGTCATGCACAATATTGTTGCTCATATTCGTAGGAATTTTGGAGTGTGATTGTCGTCAAGAGAGTTATTTGAAAGGAGAAAAAGAGCAAAAATATTGTTTCCATTGACGTTTTTAAATTCCAACTACAATTCTATATTATAGAAGATAAATGATTAATAATAAACATTATACTCAATTGAATTTTTCTCCTACTAGAAACAATAGAATTTTGTCAAATGTGACTGTAGCTGTGGATATCAGTGTGGATGTTTAGGTGTAGGCCTTCTCTTCTCCCGTACCCACGACTAAACCCACACCGACACTGAAAAACTTTTGTTTTGTCGCATTCAAAATGCTTACTTTTCGGTCTTTCAGTACGTCAAAGCGAAAATGATTGTTGTTCTTGAAAGAATCGTCATGAGACAACAATGATGATATGCTCGATCTGTTCATTCTTCGAACTCTTATAAAAAAGAAAGAGAGTTTGTTGATCAATGAAAATGTTCTTCGTTCATCTGAAATTATTTGATAAACAGCTTTGATTGTGTCTCTGTTTTGCATCGATTTGTTGTTCGCGTTAAACGACACATTTTATTAACATTGTTGACGAAATTAATGCGAGAAGAAATATGTTCTGTCATATTCTATATCATTTGAGTGATGAATAGAATAAGATGAGTTTCTTTCGCGATTCTTCTCATCAACAGGAGACATTTCGATCTACACTCCTTGAGTCTCATTCTGATCCCAAGAGAATTAGCCTATTTTTTTTTGCAATACATTCGATTATTCATTAAATAGATATACAACTTTTATTTGTCATGAATTTTCAATGAAGTTAATAGTAGTGCTGTGCGACAAACGAGAAATACGAAAAAAATACGTGGTGTCACACAGCATGCCCACATTGCATACACATAAACTGATGTGCGCGGGTTTCTAAAGGTTGTGTAACTGCGCTTGACGTCGAAAACTTTAATCTCTATGTAACCAAGAATGTATTTATATAAGTGTAGTGCATCAATCGACATTTTAACAATTGAAAAGGTGATACATCAAAATGACATTTATAGCATTGACGTTCGTTGTATTTGCCACTATTGTCGGTTCAATCAGCTCGGTGCCCATTTACGAACAGTGTGGAGGTTCGCAATGGGGACGCATATTTAAAAAATGTGATGACGGCTTGGTTTGCTACGCACGATCTATCTTCTATGCGAACGTAAGTTATCTTGCATAATACAACATAAAATTCATCGAATATTCTAGTGTCGACCACCCAATACTTGTCCTTCACGTGAGTAGTTGTTGTGATTTTTCTTTTCGAATGGATATAATGTGCTGTTATACAAGCAGACTGGGCATGCACGATTGTCGAGAGCTCATCAACTATTATCCCACTTCCGAGAGTCATTCCTGCCAATGAACAATGTAATAATGAAAGTTACACAGTATGTATCGCTGGAACGGCCTGCTTTCGACGAACTTCTAGCTACTCCGAATGTCGTCCACAGTGTCCAGTTACATGGCAATGCGAAAATGATGTTGTTCACGAGTATGAACAGTGTGGAGGTGCTATAACTTGAACATAACATTTCTTATATGTGCGTCAATAAATTTTTCTTGTTCTACACAGGTGAAGACTATACCGGTCTGACTCGTTGTGCACCAGATCTTCGTTGCTACTATCGTAGCAAGTGGTATGCTCAATGTTCAAGTTCATGTCCAGGTATTGAATGGTCCTGTTAATCCTATTCATCTGAACATAATCAAACAAGAGCAAGTCAACATGTAATCTTTGTTGGATGTGTATCGTTATAAACATTCATGTGAATTTTTTTAAATAAAATACATTTTTACCATTTTTTTTCAATTGATGGGCGTTGTTTTTTCTTGAATCCTGCAGCAAAATAATTTCGAAAAGTTCCACGTATGGGTGAGGATAGGTGTAAGTGAAAGGAAGAGTCATATGCACGCCCACGAACATTTGAGATGAGAAATAAACTATTCATATGGCGATTAAAAAAAAGTAAACTTCCTGTGATCATCAGATTTATCTAGCATTATCATGTAACTTATCTTCAAACAGGAAAAAAAAACACTTCTAATTTGAGTTCGAAAAACAAACTTCTATTTGTTAAGAAATATTTATAACGGAAGTAAAGCCCAAGGTATTAAAACGACATAATTCGTAGTGAAGATAAACTGCCATTCCTAAAGTGAATAAAAAGAAAAAAAAACGACCATGTGTTTGTTCAACACTTGGTTGTAAGAAGTTCAAATTAGTTAAAGCTCATATTCCTCATTATAATAATTCTTGTCACAACAATGCCACAATCACTAAAAAATAAGCCAAATAAATTAATACTCTATCACCCGCCAAAGTAGCTATATATTACTTGTGCAAATTAAACAGAATACTTATTGAATCTGCCTAACTCGTTATGCTTGAAATAATGTTAAAATTATCTGTGATTTGTCTAATGTAAAATTTCTAGGAAAACTTTGCTATATCAAACATAGCAATGAACGGTGCCAGGCGTTTATCTGACTGAAAATTTTTACCGTCAAAACAAGCTAGCAAAATCATTACTTGATTTCAATGAATATCACTTGATTTTCCTTTCTCCTCCTTGATGGATGAAACCTTCTGGTACACTACTGACCAGGTCTCCAAACAGGCCATTCGGTCCGAGCAGGCCTAAGCAATGTTCGGACCACTTTGGGCCGGGCCGGATCATAAAAACGTGGCCCAATTTCGAGGCCTGCTACTGATCTTTCTGTAAAAAAACGCCTATTGTTTTTAACATTTGACTTTGAGTAGTCTGAGAAAAAAATCAATAAATCTTTTATTCTATTTCTATTTTGCCTTTGATCACATAAACAATTGAAAGTTCATATTAAAAATTGTAAAATCTATGCATTGCAAATTCATTATAATTACTTCTTCAATTTTCTATTCCCTCACCAAGCCGTCCTGTTCAAGACGAATTGTAAACCTTCGATTATACAAGTTCCTTACAACAAATTGATAAACTTTTGATTCTTCACTCCAACTGTATTGATAAACCACAAATTAATCAAATAATACAATGTTTTTTTTAACAAAATTAAAAGTATTCAATAAAATGAATTCACTTATTCTTGTATATATTTTATCGATTTTAAACACATAAAATAACTTCAAAAACTTGAATAAAGCCGAAAAAATCTTTGGTTTATATTATTATATCTGTTCTTCTCTTAGCAAAAGCTAAATTTGTAAAAATGTTCTAAGCGTTTGTAAATCGATGTGAAAGCTGGCGTATTTTTCTTTCTCTTTCCCATCTGATTATAGTCATCAGTTATAATAAATCATGTATGTTAATAATGTTATCAAAATATTGGAACAAATGTTGCATCTAGTTCATTGACAGATTCATTAAATAAAATCAGTAAGTTATATCAATCTGGGTGTGGGTGTGGACGTGGAGTTCGGTGCAGATGGCATGGATATCCACACCCACATCCACCCACACTCACGCTCACACCGACACTCACACCTACACCCACCCTTTTCGTTTCTTTCCACATATGTAATGGATTAATTGTTTTTTCTTTTCTTTTTAGATGTCATCATTCAACATCGACAAATGAATAATTATTTCTCATTTTTATCTTCTTTGCGTTGACAGTAGGGTGAGTCTTAGATAAGTGAGTGTTAGCAGGGTTGAGGGTGAGTTCTGTCCAATTGAGATCAGGGTTTCATTCCATTAGGACTTCCGAGTAGTCTCTAAACGCCCAGTCAGGAACTGTTCTGATGTCTGTAGCAACACGATCGGGCCCCAGACTCACTGACATATGCCACCGAGTGGGTGCATGTGAATGATGTGAGTCTTCTCGCGCGTGTATGAGCGTCACGCTTGCCGCGGCTTCACCAAGATGATTCCTGATCGTGCGCGAGAGCGTGAATAGAAATGAAAAAAAATTTTTTTTTCAATGCGAATGCATTTTATTGAATTGAAAAACATTGAACACGATGATTATTCAAATCGACGACATAGAGATTGCCATATCGATCGAAAGACAAACCACCGAGTAAATGGAACTGATTTGCTCTTGTTCCTCCACCATTTCCACCCACAATGACAGTACCCTCTATTGCTCCTTTAGGCCAACGCATCACTCGATGATTCAACGAATCTGCCACATAGATGGTACCCAATGTATCGACGAAGAGTGCGCTAGGATACGACAATTGTGTTAGACTATCCCCATCACCTTGATCCCCAGCAACAACAATGCCTTCTTTTGCATCTTTATTCCATTTCATTACACGATGATTATTCTCGTCTAACACGTAGACAGTCTGTTGTTGATCAACAAAGATGTAGGTTGGATAGTTGAGTTGATTAAGATCTGCACCTTGGCCATTTCCACCAGCCACAAGAATTCCATTCTCGTCTCCTATTTGATATCGTTTTACTTCATGTTTTTCCGTGTCAGAGACGTAGAAATATCTCTGATCATCCATGAACAATCCCCGGCAATCGATGTTGTCAATGAGAATTTCTCCTTGAGTTGTGCCACTACGACGAGACCATCGTACGACTCGTCCTTCGTAGCAGATAATGAGACTATCAGTCTCTTTATCGATTAGCACATCAGTCGGGTAATCCAATTGATTTAATCGATTTCCTTTGCCATTGCCACCAGCTATAACTTGCCCTTTCTTATCACCCATCTTCCATTGGACGATGCGATGATTGTTGGCGTCAGCAATGATCATCGTTTGATCATCATCAACAAAGAGACCCATGGGGCGGTCGAGTTGATTAGTGGCATTGCCTTTTCCATTCCCTCCAGCAATGGTCTTTCCATTTTGTGACCATCGAGCATTGATTGGAATATTGGGAATAACTACAATGAATAAAGAAAAATGAATTGTCATTGTCGAAGAGACTTTTGTCTCTCGTATACGAGTAAGTACTAGAGATGAGACAGTCTTTTCGTAACGTAGTCTTTTAAAAAGAGTAAAATGATATTTTAACAAATAAGCATGAGTTAATTTGGACAATTTTCAGACGAAATTAGTTTCGGACTATTGAATCGTTGGTTAAAAAAAGTGAGCTTCAAAGTACGTGAACTCCAAATTTGGAGCTCACTTCCACCTCCATAAAAAAAGTGGGCTCTAAACTACATGAACTCTAAACCTCAGGATCACTTACACGTCACCTATGATGCTCGGGAGCATCATGTCGGATACTCGTGACATCGCCTACGGTGCTAAGGGCATCTTGAGGGTGTAGGTGTGGATTTTTATTTTATTATTCTAGTTACATGAATCCTTTATTATCTATTATAAGAGTGAATTTTCTAAGAAATTGCATGATTAAATCTCGATCTGTTTCATTTGAATCTTCGGACTCTATATCACATATAGTAGTGAATATTCTGTTATCGAATTCTCAGTCATATTTCTATGACAGGTGATCATATTCATTAAAAGTTACAATTGAAAATTGGGTTAGTTTTTTTGTAAGAATGTCATTAAATAGTCTAGAATTACCGTTGAAACGATTTGCTCTCATAAAAACTCAAAGCTCGATCGTTATAAAAAGTTTTATCTAAGTGAATTTTTAACGGAAAATAAAAAAGAAATATTGTTGTTGTTTTATAAAACGAAGAGAAATTGTTTTTTTTTTCTTACAAGTTGATGTGCTCGAATTTAGAAATGTGAATTTGAATTTTTCGTATATTGAAATCAGAAACTCAAATTCAATTCTTACCAAAATTTCAGATATATATTTTTAATAGAATAACTTTGGAAATCTAAAGAAAATTGAATATCAGAGGAAAAGTTATTGATAAAAGATTTGTTCAGTAATAAAGTTGATATTCACTAATCATGTTGACATTCTTTCAAAAAGTTATCGAAAACTAATTCAAGATTGATTTTGTAGAACAACATCAAAATGTTTGAGATTATTTAGTGTTATAGAAAATCATCAAAGATTATTATACTCAGCACATACTTTTGTAAAATTCTTCTTCAAACATTGTTTTAGTATAATTATTACTCTTTCATAAAGTTCATAGAAAAAAGAAAATCAGTTGCTAATTATGCATTGTTTTGGAAAATTTACCTGTAATAATAAAGCTACACCTGATTTTAAATACCCTCTTATCTAAAAATGTTCATCAATGTTTCATTTGTTAAATCGCAGTATCACAACTTGAAATACTCATTGTTCAGTAAAAGTTTAACAATGATCAATACTATGTTCGTTTTACTAAAATTTTTACACTAATCGGTTTGTGACATAATAGAGCTGTCTAGAACTTCTTTAAACGGTTTATATTCATCGTGATTTACACATGAACTTAGGAATAACAGCTTTGCTTTTATAATTTAGATGATGTATATGTGTATGTAGAAAAACTGTACAGACAGGTTTTCTATTTCATCTATGTAGAATGAAATTATTAGATTCGAAAAGAATTTTCTTCGGTCATCAATACTTTAAACAATTACATAAATACAATTCGTTTTAATGGATAAATTACTTATTTAGGTTCATTATACTATTGTTTAATTTTCTTGTCGATTATGCTACAAAATTCTCTTCCACATTGACACCATAATGAAATATGTATCCAATGTAGTAAATAAAAATTATCTAAGTTATAGAAGGCAGTGAAGTAAACAAGTTTTTTTCAAACTTAATTTTTGTTCTATTGATTTTGAGGTGCTCTAGATGCAGCTCAACACAATCATAAACATCATCGAGTTGAATAGTATTAACAGAAAAAAGTCTATGTCTATTTTTTTTTACAATATAAACTAGTTCGTTTCTCAATATTATTATTATGAGTATTAGTATTAATATTTTATTCCATGCATTTAAGTGTGTAATATACTCAAAATTATATTATAGGCGCTAAATAGAGTAGCAATCGATTCAATACGTGTAAAGTACCTTTTTTTTGTAAAAGAATTTTTCTCAGCGGTCAGTTTTTTTTCGTCTATCAAAGAAAAACAATTCATTTTTGTAAATAATTATTTATTGCTTCATAATTATCGAATATCATTTTCACTCTTATTTGCGTTGCGGTAGCGTGAAACGGGTAAATGTTAGTGGATGAATCGTGAAATGACTAGGTCCACCAGTGTATGCATGTTTGAATATCGTTGCATATCAATAATTAGTATAATTGAGTCCTACTTTCTATATCGATATATGTACAGATGTAAAAGAAACTAGTTAATACAACGTTTAACAGAGAAACTAGACTGATCTACAGATTAGAGCAAAGTTGGTTGTTGAACTCTTAACTTTTGGAGATAAAATATCAACGGATCACCCTATAATTCGAGGATAACAAAGGAACTTGTTTTAGATTCAAAATGATCAAATAGCGAATTTTGCGATGATTCTATTACACAGACTGATTTGTAAATATAAAAGTTCTTGCCTGTTTTTTTTAGAAGTAATTATAACAAATTCTCTATATTTTCTTTGCAGACTTTCTGTTAGCACTTTGCTGTATACATCATCACAGAAATTTCTATCAGCACTATCTTCCTGTTTTACTTTTCTATCTCATGTAAGAACTCCCTATGAACTTGTCTTTATGAAATTTAAACAATTGAAAGTAACATTAAACGTGTGTTTTGATATACTTTTACAGAAGATCTTTATCATCATTATATGTTAATAATAGTTTCGTTTTTGATGGATATAGCAAAATTATGAAATGTAAAGGAAACTTTTTGAGAAATACTTTTGTTGTTAGTTCTTTTTTTAATACTTAATTGTGTATTTATATGGTCACTGAATATGATTGTTTTTACCTCTTGAGTAAACTTCAATTTTAGAGAAAAAGAATCAATGATATTTTCGAAATCGACTCATATCTCGATTTGTAATTTAAACCATGAAAAAGGTCTTCTGCACTATCAAGAACGAATGTTTCATAATTTTTTTGCCTTTGTTCTCTTTTCAAATGTAAGAACGTTCCTTTTTGTTCTAAATTATGTAATTGAAAAAGCTCTAATATTTCAAATAGGTGTACAAATTAAGATTAATCGACACAATCAATTCAACTTTTTTATGGAATTGTATCATCTTCGTTTTCAATAAATTAATAGTCAAGAACATCGAAGATTTTAATCGTAAAGCCTTTTCTAAAGTAGAGAAGGTCTTACAAAAAAAAGACGAGAAATCAGTCTGTTTACATATAATATATACTCTTCAGAAGAAGACATCTTTCCTCCAAATAAAAAGTTTCTTATTTTTTCATGTAGTATCTCCTTTTCTATAGTGAATGAATGTATTGACAGAATTTTCAATGTATAAAAACAAACATGGACGAATATACTATTCATATTGATTAAGAAATACATAAAACGAAATCTTTTGTTGTTGTATGAAGATCGAAATATATTTCAAATGGAAAGAGAAAACACTCTTCTGATTTTTTTTTTCTTTTTTTGTGAATCGAAACTGTTGAACATCTCAGTTAGACTCAATTTTCTGATTGTAGATATGTTCACTTTTGTAAGTGATTTGAAATAATAGCTAAAATATAAATTCATCATTTTTATATTTATTTTTTACAGATATTTGTATGTCTTTAATTTTTACCTTTATTCAAATATATTAAACATATTTTTTGGGTTCAATCATATATGATTTTCTAGAGAATTTCTTCTGCTATCGTTGGATATTCATTTTAAAAAATGATTTCGATCAATAATGATAATAGAGATGAAATATCAAAACTACTTGATAGTATACTTATTTATAGGCCACCCGTTAATATCCGCAAGCATGTTTACTTTGAAATGAAATATCAGAAAAAATTCAGCTTAAATAGGTAGACTTTAATATCTCACAAAGAAAAACATTGCATTTAAGCTGCGATTTTCATGATATTTTACTCCGAAAATGAACTAGTCTCTGAACATAATTTCAACTCGAAATATTATCATTCGAGTTTTTGGTATATACGCTATATCTATATCTTAATGGAAATTATATTATGCAACAGAGTTCGATCTTACAAGTGATGAGGCAGTCGAAAAAGCTTGCTAGGACAATTCTCTTGTCACTATTTGCATCATAAAATAAATGTGTGAATTCTATAAAATGTTCCTTCAATGTCTTTGCATGAGTTACTATAATACTAAGTTAATCATATTCAGAAACATTAGAGAATAGACAAAACTTGAAGATTTTTAGAGAGATTCATGAATACAAAAGTAAATTAAATAGTCAAACTTTTGTTTCAATTCAATACTATCTGTATCTCTCTCTTCTGATATTCAGATTATATGTCGATCTACGTTAAGATAGAATATTTTTTCTTAAAAAGTTAGTCGTATATTCCACTATTTTGTTTACTAATATTCCATAAGTAGCTAAACAAAAATTGTAGAATATGATCTGTTTTTGTATTTTATTACGACAATTTTAATTTACTTTTTGTGTTTAGAGAATATTTCAAAGTAGAGAAAACGACTTATTTTAGTTTATTAAAGAAAATTAAAATTTTTGTAATATTAGTATCCATTTTCTTTTATGAAAACTTTTCAAAAAAAAACATGATAGTAGAACCTAAAATTTTTTTATTATATTTATTACAATCGAAAAGAGAAGATTTTGCTGCATCTTTTTATCAAAACAATATCGGAAAAGAATCCAAAATATATGATATCCATAAAAAGAATAAACAAAAAGATGAAATATTGACATTATTTTTTGGTGCGAATTTAAAAGATGATTCTTGACTATGTCGAAATTGATGTTAAAATCATCATTCATTGTTAAAATGTATAAATCGCTCAATTTGGGATCTAACATATTATTCGATGTACGTATGGAAATGACTATTCCACTTTCCTTAAATTAAAGACATTCTTTCTTCTTTTTGTAATGATAAGCACAA